CATAAACACAACCAATATGTATTCTTTCAACATGCTACTGAATTTCAATGTTCTGGTGTTCTGAAATATTCAAGATAGGTTTTAAAAAAGGACAATAATTTCCAGAATTTAATCCCAATCCAATTATTTTTTTAATGTTATTCATCCAACACATTAAAATTCTTAAATATTTTAAAATTACTTGTTAACTGTATTTACAATGTGACTCTTCTGGCAGAAGTTGTTTTGTTATGTTCTCATACGCTTCATTTTATTTGCGCTCTGTACATATTCTGAGTGCAGTGCTGCACTGAGCACAGCGACAACTTTGTTTTTATTTCTTTAATAGCTGTGCCCGGCCACACCTTGCTGTGGCTCAGTCTGCCCATTCTTCCCCAGTTTCATTTGAAATTACTCGACGCACTGCTTCCGCTCGGCGAATACGACAACCTAAGCCTGTTCTTAGAAAACGAAAAGAAAAACAATGAAAAATAAACTATACTTACAAAATAATTTCCAACCACGTCTCGAGTACAATTATTATCACTTCCAGTATCACCGAAAAATTCTTTGGAGCTGGACTATTATAACCCGGTTTCGGACGCAATAGAGGGCACTTTCGCCCATGGTTCCATTTCACGTGTTCTGTGCTCGTTGCCGCAGAAATGCATTATTTCCGCAGTTTCAACAGTTCGTTGCCACAGTTATTCCTAGGCAACGATCTCTTGGTATTCGATGGAAGACGTATAACACATTACAGTATATTATATTGAATACAAATAATACTTTTACATGTTTTTACCTGTCACGGGTGTGACATCTACATAATAGGCACACAAAAAAAAGACGCGCGTTCGAATGCAACGTTATGTCAAAATTTCGAAGCGATCGGTGAAGAAGTTTCGGAGATCTTCGGTAAGACTCAAACGAACATTTACATTTTTATTTATATAGATTGGTTGTATCAAAGCCATCAGCACTCAGTTGGGGTCACTCAATTCCAGTCATTCCTGACAGCATGCTGAAAAGCACAAATATGTATCAGCAAGGATGAAGGCTGAACTAGTTGGCTCTTTTGTCATAGATGCATACATTTCCAGGTGACCTCAAACTCTGTTCAGGACATTAATGTTCTGCCCATATTGATCTGCATTTTCCTGTGACAATACAAGACTCGTAGCAGTTCAATCTCTCCTGCATCAGAGGAGTCGACTGACCTGCATGGATCTATCAAATAAAATTCTTATTTCCTCTTACATGTGTCATCTGTATCTGTACAGACATCCTTAGGGCGTACACATAACGGGTTTTCCTAAAACATGAAGCAAAGTCATAATCAGCTCTGAAGAGTATTTATTAAAATAAATTACAAATATCCCATCCAGAAAGATCCAAATAGCCTCAGATACATCATAATGTTTATATTTGCTTCAGTGTATATAATTTTTGGATACAATGAATGTAAAATATCTTGCAACAGTGTAAGTCCTAAACTATTAAACATTATGGATTACGTTACTATTCAACGAAGTGATTCATATTGCTTTCACTATGCTGCAACCCATGTGTCTTTACTTCAGCCAAGTTATGGCAGTCATACTTCCATAAACTTGTATTACAGAATTCTTCATCAATACAATGCCTAGACTGTCCACTACGGCTTGTCAGATTGAGGAATTAGCTGCCAAGAAATTTCTAACTGTACCAATTAGAAAAAAACCTTAATATCTCCCCACCAACCCCAAAAGCTCCAGCAGTTCCTATCCAATTTGTACTTACAATTACTAAAAATTTACGTATCTTACACATACAGTCCAGGGTCTTCCGTTGTACCAACGTGTAGTTTGGAGATGGCCCAATGTTTAGGAAGAATATGTCACCTCCAAAACGCGGAGCTCTCTCTGAACTACACACTGCTACAACTCAGAATGCTATACTCTTCATTCCAAGTATAAGCCATAGCCTCCTCACTGTCACCATGCAATTCAGAAGTATCGACAAACACAGAACAGGCAACTCTCAGTTCTCAATTCCTACACCCAACTCCTATGTCAAATCAAAAACCAACTGTTATCTGCTCATGACTGTGTATTCCCTGTATGTGCAATTACAATGTATACTCTCTAAGCGAACAAGTCTTCGGCTAAGATCTTCCATAGGAATATGCCTGTAACAACAAAGATTTGAGACTTCTGGGATGTGACACCATGTAGTCTGGTAGAATGTTACCAACATCTCTGAGGAATGTGAGGCCTCCATCTTCAGGGTCTTATCACTTTACATGTTCTTCCAAAGTGGTGGTAACGTTCTACCAGTGTACATGGCCTCACAGCTAAGAAGACAACAGTTTTTCAAGTTACCAGGTGTTTAGAAAAGCCCACTGTCAATTATTCCAAATTGTCACATGCTGATACTGTATGCATATATGAGAGCCACAGTTTACAGGACGAGTTTTGGGAAAGAGATATCATTGGCTGTATTTTATTCAATACAAACTAGCAAAAGGGAGGTAAGGTGCAAGCATACAGAGTCCATTTTACATATAGACAAAAACTTTACCAAACGTTTGTAACTTCTAACACTTCTGTAAGATATACATGAAAGTGATTTAGACCAATCGAAGTGGAAGCCGATACAATGCTTTAGACAGGTTTCATTATGGAACTCCCACATCACACTCCATCAAAATGCGTGTTTCCTGCGAGAACTGCAACATACAACAATGGGAATATAGACACAGTTGTCACAGAAAATGCTACATTTTCTGAGCTATGAATATCAGTTTTGTCAAGCTATCATTACACGCACCAGCAGTATTAATGACCTGGGTGTTTTCTTTGATTCAACGCTACATTTTCACACACATTAATTACATATATTCTGAATGCATAAAGCTTTTAGGCCTTATTCACTCCATTACCTACAGATCTTCTTCCTCCCTGGAGTGTCTGTATGTACTATATTTTACTTCAGTCAGGTCCAAGCTGGAATATGCCTCGGTAATTTGGAACTCCATCACCTCGACTGATGCCAATAAGCTTGAACACATCCAGCAGAAGTTTGCGTCCATCTGTTTTTATTGTTTTTTCCTTCATATTTTATATAATTAAACTGATGCTTTATTGTTCCTCTAATAAACACTGTCCTGCTTGATGCGCCTATTCTGCCAACACAGTGGGTAAAGATCTTGACATATTTGCAATTGGAACAGTTTCTGTCAATCACATTGAATCTAAAATTGTTAATAATATAATGTACATAAAATTTAAATTCGGTTCGCTTAGTGGGGGGTGGAGTCCAACTGGGTCCACTCAGCACGGCGGCCACTGATTGTCCTACTGAAGCCTGCCGCAGGTGATCATGATGGAGAATTTGGCAGAATGAAGATTGGCAGGGGAAACCAAAGTACTCAGAGCAAACCTGCACCAGGGCCACTTTGTCCACCACAAATCCCACTTGACCAGACCTTGGCTCAAACCTGGGCCTCCGTCGTGAGAAGCCAGCGGCTAAATGCTTGAGCCATGGCATGGCCTGTGTATGTACGTACGAGTGTATTGGTCTTGTTTTATTTTTCTCTCCTGTTAACTTTAATTGTTCTTGGAATTATTATCAATTTATTGCCATTATATAGACTCTCAAATTTTGCATTTTAATTATTTTTGTGTATTTCTGTGTACTCGTGGTAACCTTTTAACTACCCTCTGTGCTGTTAAGTTTGCATGTAAATAAACATTAATTGAATTATTATTATTATGATGTTGAACTGCCACACAAATAAGTAAGAATTAATTGGGTTATTGTTGTTGTTGTTGTTGTTGTTGTTATTATTATTAACTTCTATGCATGTATGTATGGGTACTATCCTTTCCCGCCACATAATAGCATAACCATTCAAAATGTACTTATTTTATTTTTCTTGCCTCTTAAGGCTAATTTTAATTTTTCTTGGAATTATTATTAATTTATTGCCATTATACAGACCGTCTTATTTTGTATTTTGTTTTTTTAGTTATTTTGTGTATTTCTATGTACTCATGCCAACTTTGTAATTGGCCTTTGTGCTGTTAAGTCTGCACATAAATAAACACGAACTGAATTATTATTATTATTATTATTATTACACAAGATGGCATAACCATTTGAAATTTACATATTCAATTTTTTTCTCCTGTCAATGCTAACTTTATAGCGTTTCTTGTAATTATTATTAATTTACTGCCCTTGCATAGAGTGTCATATTTTGTTCTTTAATTATTTTTGTGTATTTCTAGGTACTCATGCTAACTTTGTAATTGGCCTCTGCGCTGTTAAGTTTGCACATAAATAAACATGAATTGAATTGAATTATTAATTACATTAATTGCATTAATGTGTCTTTGCTCCAGTGCTTACATTTAATTAGTCTTTGACTTTATGTTATGTTTGTCCATATGCAATTACTTTTATCTACCTACACTTGGCAGTGTCTGTAATTGGTCTCTAACAGAAATGAGTACCAGCAAAATTCATGNTGTAGAGGCCTCGGATTGCATCTGGTTAAGTGGGTTAACCATCCGTTTTTTGTTTAGGTGTCCTTGAGCTGGGCATATTTGTTGTGCTGTGGTTGGCCATCAATCCAACAAATTCCCGCCCCAGCAAGAACATTCAAGACAGCCACAGTCAAACAAAACCATGAAGCAAACACCAGCAGCTGAAGGACACCTAAATAAAAAAAAAACAGACGACTAACCCACATAACCAGATGCAATCCGAGGCCTCCACATAACAGAAACAAAACGGCATTACAGTGAGCAGCAGATTCTGCAATCTAACCTGTACACCTGAAGATGGCTGGTTGGGCTGAAACATGTAGTGTCAATGAAGAAAAGCAAGTGAATAGTAACCAACATTGCACATAGATGGCATCAAAGCAAGACACAAAGTCGGATGATACCATGCACATGTGTTGCCCTCCTGCATGCAAACATAGTAAAGCAAGAGAGGCAGTCTTACATGGTCACACACATCAAACTGACATTTCTTCCTGTAATACTGTAATACTGTAGTATCTTCCTGTCATGCATGGATGATAGGACAGCATAATGGACATCAGAGAAATGCTGTAACTTGCTCGTTGTGACTGTACAGCAATAACTTCTTCCTCTTATGGCAGATGAGTCACTTGAGGTCTCGTGCTGGTGAGTTGCAGGCCTGAAACAATTACATGAAGAGCATTAAAAGACAGATACTGATTTGCATGCGAGTCTGTATGTACGATTTCAAACTTGATCCACTTTTAATTTCAACAAAATGTAAGACTTCAATGTGGCTTGCAATGACACAAAAAATTTATGGTTACATAACATGATAATACTTGGCACTCCCCCCCCCCACACACACACATGTTTGCTGGTACTCTCAGGTTCAGTTTTTGCCTCACGATTGAAAAATACAGTGCAATGGTAAATGTGTGAGACTTTTGACAAGCTTGTCAATACAGATCAAATATTTGTTGGTATACATACTGGCCTAAAGAAAAGGTACTCATAGTAACCATACACTAGGTATATTTTGCTCACAGATATCTTCATATTAGAACACTCTAAAATATTGTAACATGTTTGGAGTAGGTACTTCCATGGTAACGCAATAACAGTGAGCCATCGCATAGACAATGGCGAAACAATGAACGAATCTCCCCGGAGATGAACAACTGAAGGCTCGTTGCATAACAGCGGACTGTCGAAATAGTAGAAACGGAACTGTGAGAAATGGTGTCTGGTATCCAGTCTGCATAACCCCTATATAAGCAGAGCCAGAGACGACACAGATGAGAACGAGCCAATCTTGGGATAGCCGCCGCCAGAGACAGTTGAGATCCAACTATGGCCAAGGATAGTTGAGACACTGTGTTGGAGTATTGGGCCAGAAGTCAAGTGACACTGCAAGGGCAATAATTTAAGATGTATAAGAGTGAGTGTCCAATAAAGATTTGCTAAGTCCAAGACCCACGTGAGGTTATTTGTCGCGGAACATACCCAACACGTGACAATATATAAAAGTAAAGACTTCAGCTCCTTAAAAATGGGAAATTAATTTCCATTCCCTTACAAATGCAAGCCATGCAATACTGCACTACTTATATATCAAAAATTTCATGGAAGAACTTATGCTTATTTTCTGTTTCCAAACTCCTGTCAAACCAAAATTCCCAGTCAATTATTATATAATTCTGTCCTCTACATTTCAGCTACTACAGGCAAAACACCATGATATCCATAGCCACATTTGTAGTTTTCACTGTTTCACAAACTCTGATGTCAGTACAGCTTTCATAAAATGCAGTTATCTAGATTAGATTATTAGTGAGGACCAAATACTGGTTCTAGAAGAACTGGAAACAAAATGGAACAAGAACATTCTAGCACAATAACAAACGTCAAGGACAATCAGCTCATAAAATGAAAATGCTGATCTTCCCCAGAACTTGAGTTATGTATCAGCTCCATCATCACAAAAACCGTGTTAACATTCTGCTCAACAATTAATAAAATATGGCTACAAACCACTCAAAAGACTATGCAAGGCATGGAGAACTGATGGGAGTCCACACAAACTTTCATACTGCAAAATTATTTGCAAAGAAAGTAACTGAAACAGTGAAGCTTCATTACTTACAGTTCACTATGACCAAGCTCACATTTACCAATACAGGAAAGTGTTTAACACAAAAATTTGTATCTACTTTTAAACTCTCCTACAACACCAAATTTCATGAGCCAAATACAAACTAATCTATACTGAAGTGCTGTTTCGTAAGTACCTGTAAGAATATTAATCTTTTCTTCTAACAAATAACTAATCATATAAACCTGCAAAACATTTCTAAGAAGTCCTTTCCTCTCGCTCCAATATGATCCCATAATGGCATACTTCAAATTCTCGATTTCTAACACAGTGACGGACTTACATTTACGTTTACAACCACCTCAGAGCTGAAGCACAGACACGTTCAACCATAACCTAACTGCAGAACTGCAGCTGCACCTCTAATTAGAGTCTATATGATTCAAATTTATATATTCATGAAGATGTACGATGAACAATATCTGTCCAGCACGCTCGTCTCCTGCTTTCTTCGTCAGTGCCACAACATATAGTATTTACATCTGTAAGGAAGGGAGTAACACTCAAATTCTAAAATTAAACTATTCTTATGTAACAACAGCTCCAAAAGCAATAATAAATTGAGAATCAGGATTTGAATCACATACAAAACAAATCCTACCACAATACTCACATTGCTTCAGCAGCATACAAACAAGGATAAAGGTAGGGTGAAGTAAAGTTGTCCCTGTGCTTAACTAATAAAGCACCACACCATGAAGGGATATGGGAGTGTGGATGTATACATCCACTGACAAGGGTACAGATGTAAATTTCATAACTTTGGATATTCCCTGTTAGGTCTGTGATGGATTTCAAATGTCTTCTGACAAAGAAAAAAATAAATTCCCATTCCTCTCTGCAACAGAAGAAAACAAATGCACCACTCCACTAACTGCCAAATATATGTCCATTTTGCAG